AATTATTATTATATTAAATTAAAAATTTTATAACTTATAAAATTATAAAAAATTATTATATATTAAATTAATTAAACTTATTAAATTAATTATTCTTTATTTTTATTATAATTAATTTTAATAATAATTTTAATAAATTTTAAATTTAATATAAATTTAATTATTATTTAATTTTAAATTAATTATAATTTAATTAATTAAAAATTAAATTTATATTAATTAATTTTTTAAAATATTAATTTTATTTAATTTAATTATATATTTAATTAATAATTACGTAAAATAATTTATTACGAATTTTTTAAAATTATAATTAATTAAAATATTTATTAATTTATATAATTAAATTTATAAAAATTAATTTATTAAAAAATTTATTTATTTTTATATAATTATTTAAATTATTTTCGTTTCGTATTAACGTTTTAATTAATTATTTTATTAATTATATAAATTTAAATTTTAAATTTTTAAAATAAAAAATTTAATATTATATAAAAATTTTATTTAATTATTTTTAAATTAAAAATTTAATTTAATTTAAAAATTAAAAACTTAATTTAATTTAAAAATTAAAACCGTTATATTATATAATTAATTAATTAAAATTAAAATTAAACCTTTATTTAAATTAATTAATTAATACTTACGTAATCCGCACCCGAATCGGGTGGACCCACTATCTCTTCATTGATTGGTTCACGCCTTGCTGACTTATCACACGTTTCCCTTTTTGACTTGCCTATTACAGGTCCCACTCTTCCTCCGCCCTACCCCTCCACCCCTAGCCACCCCTAGCCACAAACTCAGCCACAAGCCCACCTTTTTTCTTTCCTACCTCAGTAATTCTACTAGTCCCAATCCGGAAAGATCTTTTTTTTTTTTTTTCTCAACCTGTGACAATAACCCTCCTAAAAGTCGGGCATTGTTCGCCTGAGATCCATGTTTCAGGGTCTCCCTCTACAGGTATTTCGAGAAATGACTCTACATTGGTAACTAGATTGAGGAAGGATTGAGTGCACAAGAGTTGTCCTGTCTTTCACACCATTTCTTCCTCCTTACAAGTGATCCTCTTCTTGGCGTTTGGAGTTGCTCAACAAGTTTCCGCCCGTGACTGGCTCGTATAAGGTGGTTTGTGTGACATGGTTTCAGCTGCTTGCTGCGCCCAGCATAGATATTGTAGGTAACTTCGTTGGCCTCAGGAAAATGTCAGTATTTTCCGGATCTGCCAATTACCTACCACAATCTTGTCGTTCTTTTGAATTTGGCAACATGTCCGTCAATCTCTCAGGCTGGGCTATCCGCCGAAACGGATCATGCCTCCTCACGCAGGAAGTCGACTGCGGCATGACGGTAGCGCCCTTCCACGCATGTTGCCCGTCCTCAACTGAATGTCCGACACAATACAGCATCGCGTGTTGCCAATCCGGCAATAACTGTACGGAGGCTATTGTGGAGAGCCCCCGATGCGCGAATTCGTCATGGATCATGTACGATAACGAGGGTTACTTTTGTTGCGACCCGGGTTATGTGGGATACAACCTGAACTTCACCGATGGATGCTCCAGATCTGATACAAGCATACCAGACGACGCTTTGCCGCTTGCCCAAGTCGATCAAGGTACAGTACAAATGGCCTGTTACTAATTCCCCGACGCCGTGTAAGGACAATACTTACTCTATTCTTCTTACTTAGGTAATGCCTCTACAACAACGACTAGCGAATCGACATCAGCACCTGTTATGGTCGTAGACGCTCCTCATGGCATCGAACCCGTTGCCCAAATAGCTGGAGGCGTAGTAGGAGGTGTGGCGCTCATCACAATTATACTAATAGGCATCTTCCTCTGGCGCCGGAAACGAAGTCGGTCTAGCAAAGACAACGCTGTTCAACTTGAAGAATTGAGCGATAAAGATGCGATGATCCGCACGCCAGCTCAGCTAGGAACCGATCCCTGTGCTGAATTGTCTGGTAAAGGTTTACACGAGCTATCTTGAAGACCGGATGATTCAAAGGACAGAACGGTGAACATCTCAAGCTAAGATCGTGGGAGGAGGGGGTGGCGTTGATTGGATTGCATTAATAGCGGAGAGATAACCTGTAGGAGACGAAACCTCACAAATCTTTGATTTAGACGAATTGTTTTCTTTGGCCTGTACGGCGTTATTCAGAGCGTGGGTATAATTAACACATGAATATAGAATCTTAGGTCATTATTTCTAGACTTCCATCTCATCAACAGATTCTGACCCACCTGATATTTAGCATTTGGTAATAGGGGGCGGGGCACAGGAGAGCCTCCGCCCCTCACCTAACTCCAGCAAGCAGAACGAACGTTAAACCCCACTAAGATACGGAGTTAAATGACAATTTCTCTATCAGGAAAGGTTTCTAGTCGCGAGAAAGCTATCATTAAGGGAAAATCGAGGGGGTAGGCTGGGTTAAATGATTTCCATGTAACGTACCTACCTAGGCGTCTACATAGGCCTTCCAAGGTCAAGAACACTACTATTTGAACGAGCTCATTGCATTCAGGTCATTTCCTCACCCTTCAACTCTACCTTCAGAATTTCAATTGCTTCGTTGAGGTGCTTCTCATTGTCGAAATCAATGATGAAGTCCCATCTAGGCAATAGTTTTTCTCGAAGTTTCCCTATATCCAGGCCTGTCTCCTCACCCCTGCCCCTCATAATGACACCGGTCCCACGGCTAGAAACTACGATTCGTTGTGTGCGTGGACGTCGGACTTGGTCGTATACCTTCAAAGCTTTCTGCGCCTCGGTAGATGTTTTAACACGACCGAGTAAGCTAGAAAGGATACTATAATGCGCCAGGTCAGCATTCATCTCTCATTTAGCTTGACAATTAGTTAAGAGATTAGATGAATATCGATAAGCTTTGAATTTGGTGAACGTTGCAGGAATTTATAAAAGAAAGAGGAGTGGATGCTCAATAAATTTCGATTGGTACTCACAGGCTGTCTTCAATGGACATGCCGCCGCCTGATCCTTGCCCTGTAGCGCCTCAAGTCAGCGATCATTACATAATAGAACTCGGTGATGAAGTGGAAATAAGGTTAGTCTTAAAATTTGGTCTTCAATCCTTGGATAAATAAGAAAACGCGATAACAAGACTAATAACTTTCACATACAAGGCGTTGTAGCATGGGCAGCGTCGCCAATGACACAGATGGGACCAGATACGTAGGTCGAAGCTGGTGGGTGTTCCCATAGATATATGCCATGCTGTTCAGGTTGGTCGCAAAGCAACTATACATTCTTGTTAGTCTCGAATCCTGGGACGTTAAACTCAAATAAGCCATCATACCTCATTTACGGCTTTGTTTAGGTGCGGTGGCCAGTCCTTGTAGAGTTTCTTGATCTCCTCGACCTTTACGACTCGGTTCCATTTATCTGATGACTCCGCTTCCTTGTCGTGTGATGCAATGACAAACTGCACTAACTGACCGTCGCTCAGCAGATTGTGCAGTATGAAGGAGCCGTCCCCTATCCACGAATATTCGCGAGCGTCTGCGAGGTCTACACTTCCTTCGCCAAGACTAGTTAGTGCCCTGGCATATGGTTGAAGCGTCATAACGATCCAGGTGCCAGTATTTCTTGGTGAAGCAGCCGGGTCATTTTTGCCAAGGATGAGTTTGCGGACAGTACTGTGAATGCCGTCGGCGCCGACAAGAATATCGCACTCGTGAGTTGACCCATCAGTGAAATGGATTATAATAGAGCCGTCTTTGGTTCGCTCTGTCTTGTCAAGCTTCTTAGAGGCATGCATCCGTTCTTCAGGCACATCGGCCAACAGCTCCTGTAAGAAGTTGGCGCGATGAACAATGCTGGTGATGCGTTTTCCCTGGGCTTTATCATCTGCCTCATCAATCAAGTTGCCTCGACCTTCACCCTGAGCTAGCATGAAACGGACTCCTCGCATAGGTACCGCACCAGCACGTTCAAGGCACTGAGTTGCCGAGGGGCCGATTAAATCAAGCGCAGCAAGGGCATTGCGAGCTATCCCAATTGCCATTCCAGATTCTTTGAATGCTGTGGCTGATTCAAAGATGTGGACGTCTAGATGAGGAAATTTGAGGAGGGCTTGTATCAAGGATGCACCTGCCAGTCCGCCACCTGATATGGCGATTCGAATAGGCTGAGACATGATGTTGAAGTTGAAATGGAGTTTTTGAATTGAACCAGAGAAGGCCAAGTGTCTTCTTTTCCGAGTATTGGATGAGCACTGTATTTGCCTTCACTCCTGGACGACGATGTGATTGATAAAGACGAAGAGTTCACGAATATTTAAGGCTAGGGGAAGAATATGTTTGTCCCTCCCCCATTAATGACAACTGTCTGGGTATCTGCCTAAAATGGTAGGTACATATGTACCAAGCTATAGAAATGATAGATCGTTCTTGTTTGGGTTACATGTTATGAATATTGAAAGCGCCTACAATCGGCAGGCTCGGGGTCCATGTTAGGCGTATATTTGTGGAGCGGTCAGCGGGTTTGGCCTTGTGTTACAACTCATGTGTGATCTTATGCATATATTAAAGATGCCTGCAGATCTCTTTCGCGCCGTGTAACAACTATCATTGTTGGTGGGCCTATTGGGGTAGCTGGGTATTAAGCAGGCTGAGCAACGATAGAGCGCGATAAAGGGTCGAATTGAGGGTGGTAGGTGGGTTAACGCCCGCCTTTTCATTTACCTACCCCTATTACAAATGCATTCATGGATACCTCTTGGTACGTTACCTACCTACTACTAAACAGTACCAAGTCAGGGCAGGTGGGTAGGCATCCAATAGAAAATGCCTCGCGTAAACGCGCAAAAGTTGGTAATGAATATGAACGTTGAAAGGGGGACACTTTGCGGGGTTGCTAGGTACCTAGGTAGGTAGGTAGCTACTTAGTTGCGAATCACATTATCACATGATGTTACCTTATTCTCTTATACACCAGCCATGCTCACAAAGAGCACTACGCAATGTTCGTAGAAAATATTGCTCGTAAAACCGTACCTAGGTCTTTGACGAAATTATTCCATATAAGAACCTCTAGTTACAGGTACGACATGCATGAAACCTAGGTAGCGAACCTATGATAGAATAGAGAGGTGTTGATTGTTGCCTAGTACTTTGCTCGTACGGAGCACCTATCTAGTATATCTGACCTATCACCCTTGATAAAACACTCCCCCTTTCTCTAGAAAAAGAGTCCATTTTGAACAGGCTAATCCTTATGCTCAACATAATGTCTAGCATGGCCCCTTGACACTCAAGCTTTCAAGCCAAAATCTGGGTCGAATTGAGTCGTGCCATCACGTTGAGCTTTGGCTTTCAAGCCAAAATCTGGGTCGAACTGGGTTGTTCCATCTCGGTTCTCAATTGTGCTTAGAGACCTCGGTTGAGCTATACGCAGTTGAGGGAATATGTAAGTACTTGCAAATGAAGTGAGTTATTAATAAAGGTGTCCTACGCGAAGATATTGGCGTTCCCACAGCAATAGCTGCAAACAAGATGGCGAGGGTGACGTGTTTCATTTTGAACTAGAGTTTATATCTTGGAAATATCTTGGGAATGGATGGTTATGTTGCTCTAGCGATTGTTTATGGAGAGAGAATAGAGATCCCTTTTCCACGCATAAGAAAATTCCAGGAAATGGATAGGTATTTATATAGCCCGCACTACCAATCTATAAGGTGGCTGGAATTTCGTCTTAGCTATTGACACTGGTGGTCTTCAAGAAAGTCAATACGTCTAATACAAGTGCGCTTTTAGACTCGGAGGCTAGGCAAGGGGTTGGTTTACCATGCATTAGGATATGTGTGTAAGCATATGCTTGAGTGTGGGTTCGATTACCTGGCTCGCCGGAAGCTGTTACCAATAAGGTCGTTTTCCGAATATTTCTCGATTGTTAGAGCCTACAAAGTTTGAAAAGACTAGGATAACTGGCGGATAACACCTTGGTTGGTTCACTTACAGATAACTCTTCAACATTGACTTTTCCATCCGGTTTAAGCCCCTTGTTACATGCAGCTCCATGCTTGCAGATCAAGATGCATGTAATATTATTCGCCATGCCGTACCTAGATAATTAGGTTGTGAGCCTTCCGCATAACTTTAAGTATGTCTTCCTGCATAGTCATGCCGCAGGATTCACGAGCCGCGCCTCTTACACCATATATTAATACCCTATCCTTTGTTACGGTGTACAAAACACGGTAGTTATAGTCGTATTTTTAAAATTTATATCGTTACCCCTTGGTGTCATCTTAACTTCTCACCCTCTTTGGGATGTTTGCTCACTTGATACTCTGCAAGCCTAATCTTTTGGTATTTTCTCCTTTTCCATCATCGGTTCTACATGTTAAGCCCCAGCTTTGAGAAATTTAGTCATGTTTAACGAAGAGTTGAAGCCATTCTTGAATGGCCAAGACGACAATGAACTCACCAGAGACACCCTTCCTGCAAGTCCCCGTCAAAAGAATCGATTTATGTTGATATCCCTAGCGGTTAATGTTATGTTGTTCTTTGTTTGCACAACATTGAGTGTGGCAACATTTCTTCTCTCAAACTCGAACACAGCTTCAACTACCACACAGGAGCTCAACAAGGACTGGCACACAGAGCCGTACTGTATGATAATCGTAGCATCTGTGTTGAAGGTACATTGCTGATGCCCATTAGCACCAGCCAACTCCGCCATTGAATACGAATACCGATATATGATAAACAACGACACTCGATTTACGGGCTATCCGAGACTTGAATGGGAGCATTCAATGAATGAACTAATGGAAGGCAAGTTGCTCTGTTTTATTATGCTTAACCTCAGCTGTATTCTTATCAAGTTGACTTAGGGACCCTTATACGAATATCGAATGAAGAATTGAGCTTGTATGGCAATGACTCGATACCATTGAAGGACGGCGGGTACGCAGCAGGCCTTGCGGTCGGGCATAATCTTCACTGTGTGGTATGTATACCATTGCTCCTCATTCAACTATCATAGCATAGAGCTTATTCATAAACTAAACAGAAAAAGCTTAAGAAATTCTTATACCGAGAACACTTCTACCCAAATTTAGATTCTAATGAGGTTGATTTCAGCTACATTCAGTCCCATGCAGGTAAGTTCCTGATCTAGATAGGGGAATATACCTGTTTTGGTCTATTGTAGGGACTTATGCGTTTTCAGATCACTGTCTCGATTTCTTAAGGCAGAGTATTCTTTGTCACTTGGATTACTCCTTATATACATTATACTGGGGGGAACGACAACAAGATATACCAACTCATCATGACCCGGGCATACAGAAATGCGTTAATTGGGACAAGTTACATGGGTGGATGATTGAAAGATCAGTTAGTACTGATATGTTAGTTAGACCATGAACCCGATCCCAAGTCTAGGTAGAAAGGCCAAAGCATGCTTAGGGCATTTCTAGGTAGTCAAGGCGCCTAGTAGTAGCGGTATTCCCGATAGGAAAGCATCATTTTATTCTACAGCCATTGACAAATCTATGATTTTACGAAACGCTGAAGTCGGTTCAACAGATCCACATCTATGCATTCTACCAGATTATAAAGGTTGGTGACATGTTAGTTGATGTGATGAGCCAAAAACCAAGAAGGAATATTGACTGATCGTGACGATCTAAGAAGCTAAGAAGCCCCTAATAGGCCGCGTGCTTACAGGTGCAAGAGCAAGGCTTATCTAAACTTACAGATCCATAATTCACTTTGTCGTGGTATGTTTAAGAACATTATAAATTTAAATGTGTGGATTATCGCTTCTCTATTCAACGAGCACCTACTTAAGTAATGTACGTAGGTAAAATACAAGGTATAACTTCTTAGAATCTGTGAGCTAATGGATGAGACGTCAAAGAATAGGTGGGCCCTGCCCACCATAGGTAAACTTAGCAGCGTGCGCGTACTCTGGGTGCGACACTTAGTAAATACAACCACCTTTGAGGCCCGAATGTTTACGCAATAATCTAAAAGGCTTGGGTGATGCAGGCATTCCTTTTTCTACAACTCCCTAGTGTGTACTTAGAAGAATCCCAAACCTATCTAGATAGGTACCCGTTACCTGTTAGATAAGCTCGCTGTTCTATGGATCCTTGTTGGTGATTATCATGGAGCCTTGTGTTCGGTCGTTCGGTGTGTGACCCACTAGTAAGCATTTAATATAGACTGCGGCTCAGCACCTGGAATAAGGGTGGTGGTGTCGTTAATATACCAACCACCAATCACATGCCCATTATGAATGCATGCATTACGTTCCCGACATTCTGACTGATGTGCAAGTCAGTGGCCTACCAGTTCAAGGTGGTAAATACCATTAGGTTACAGTCTCAGGTTGAGTTAGCCATTCAGGTCCTACGCCAATCTTGTCCTTAGAAGGGAAGACTTGAGACCACTACATATATAGTTGCATATGTTGTTGGTGGTGGTCCCACATCGTAATTCGAGTGCCATCACATCCAATGCCTACGAAATATTAGATATTGTTTTCTCGGGTTTTCTAGCACCACCGTCCATACCACCTCTCCAAGGCGCTCATCAACAACTAAACTTGATCACATCGTAAAAATGCCTTTGGTTAATCAAGAAGAGGAAAAGCCATTCCTGTCTGTTTATGACGGAGATGGGACTGAGAGTCTTAACACTCCTAAGGATGGTAACCGAATCTCACAGAATCTATCTTTCAAGATCCATAGCATACTCTTCGCCTTCCAAATTGCTTTCCTAATCACGAATATCTCCTTGCTCATTCAAAACATCACGCCCCGCCTCTGTCGAGTTGGCCAAGGATTAGACAATGCTATACTCGAGAAGACATTCAGTGAGTGTAGAAGAGCACCCTAAAATATCTTTCACTTGCTTACAATATGCCTTTTAGCACCTGCTGAAGTAGCTGTCGAGTACAATGTCCAGGAGATCAATTATGAACAAGATTTTGACCTATTTGCTGGTAAACCAAGGCCCGAGCTTGACCTAGCATGGTCGCAATTATTGAAATGTAAGCATCTTGCGTAAAAGTTAGTGAGGGAGACGAAGGTTAACTATGAAGTGCCTTACAGCATCGATGCTCAAGATTTCCGAGGACGAGATGAGACAAATGAACAAGACATCTATCTCGCTACGAGATGGTAGCGGTTATATTGGTTACCTCGAATCTCTTCATATGTTACATTGTGTTGTACGTTCGTTTGATGTGATTACCGGATAACTCTTACTAACAACCGGCAGAAAAGAATATACCAATTCCAATATCCGGATTATTATCCCGACATCCAGGACGAAAATGAATACGCATTTTCCAATGCTCATATGGGTAAGAGTTGTTGAATAATAGGTTACTATCTCATCATATTAATCAAGTAATAGATCATTGCCTTGCAGTCCTCCGTCAAGGAATCATGTGCAATGCCGACCTAACAGTCAACACGTACTTTTGGGAAAGTTCTAAACGAATAAGAGGTGACAGGTCAGGCCACCGCAAATGTATGAACTGGGAACGCATACAGGCATGGGCTGAAGAAAGATCACTCGCCGCTAGAGACAGAGACAGTTTCATTGCTACTCTGGTACCAAGTGATGAAGCTGGGACTCTTGGCCCTGTGTACTGAGCAAATAGGCTGCTAGTGTAACGAACTCGACACCGAGGAGGTATTCCATCTCATATAATACAACTTAGGTAGCTCATCAGTAATCAAGCACTATGCTAAACTCAGGGCGTATCCCATTGGTTTGCACAAGACTAGGTACACTTCCACCATATATTGCAATTGTACTGCGAATGGTCCCTGGGGTCTACCAGCACTTTTTAATCCTTAATTCTGGTTGGCTAGATTCCCTGTACAATCGCCTTAAGAGCCTCGGCGTTTACGGGGCTGTTCCAGGAAGCGACTATCACCGTGTATACTACTCGTTTTGTGAATGTATTGTTGCGCAGAATAAGGAGATACGGTATTGCTGAAAATATATGCGTATGAAAGATAGTGATTTCTATGAAATTCTATTAGCTAGCGCAATTACTTTTACTGGATGTCGGTAAGAAAATCTATAGTTAAGGACCTGGAGATGTTATCTGACAATTTGCTTACTTTCTGTAACGTTGTGTCACATTGACCTTGTGGGGTAGTTTTAGATGTTCATGAAGATTGTCGCACGGCGGCTATGACCTTGCATATCGGCATATACCTCTACATGTGGAGTCTATTCCCAGATATCTCAGAAAGTAGCAGGCCTGGCTCAAGCCTCGCCCCTATCCAACTACATAGTAGATGCACTATCCGATGATCCATGTACATCCATAGGTGCATCATCCGTTGGTGCTGACGGTCCCAACGACTCCAACTGTCTCATCGCTTCTACAAAAAAGCATCACCAACCACATAAAGAATACCTAGTGCATTACCAACATCAATGCTATCGAGTCACCCGACCATCAATGGGTAGTACTCCGTTCATTATGTGCATGTAAGCATTTCTAATTCCATAACCTGTCGACAATTGGTTCTACAATATGGTTCGGCCCTTTCATCCTTTATGCAAGTTTATCAAATGCATTATTCTACCAACATATTATGTTTTCCAACAAGAGGACACACCTTTGGCTCAGCCTTGTTTCATTCCTACCGTGAATCCAACTAATTTTGTGGCGTGGAAGTGTAACATCAGTCATAAAATGGATACTACGGTCCACGCTGCAATCTGCAGGTTGCCGCCTTACGTCTCATTTGTCTTCCATCATATTTCAACCAACTTTGCTGATGGGTGCTTGGAGAGGATCTCGTAAGTATCTATGTATGTGTCCATAATAATCAGGACGCGAGGCTAATCGCTTTCTCCCCCAGCAAGCACTATCCCATGTTTCTTCATTACCTACCTACTAATACCTATGCATCTACTTTTTTCAATACAACAAAGCATAAATTCTAAAAAACATTTTCGTCGTTAAATATCCTCAGCAAGAGTCATAACTACGATGTATGTTAATAGGGGCAGCATAACTGCAATTGGAATAATCTTTCCTATTCTTGCTGTCCTTGCTATGATCATGCGAGTTTATGGATTACGGTATTACTCTCGGAAGTTTGAACTTGACGACATTCTTGTCATTCCAGCCGTTGTAAGTGTCGGTAAAGGCCTATTTATAGGCCTCGGTTTTCACAAATACTTACATTACATGAGTAGATGCTCAATATAGCCGCCGGTGCTGCATTGGTAATAGGTAGGTAGATACCTACTTGTCTTCGCAGTTATGTTCTTGGACGTTCCTAAATAGTTTTATAGGAGCTCAGATGGAAATAATTGGAGGGCATTCTTATCCAGTAATCAGCGAGACTGAACAGGAACGACTCGGAAAGGTCTGTCTTATCTTACCCTCATGATTCATATACCTACCTAGGTACTCATACTGACTATTGGGTTGATTTGGTAGTTCGAATATGCCTTTTGGATAGGACATATACTAGCTATCGGATTCATCAAATTGACGATTTTGTTTTTGTTTCGCCGAATATTTCGAGGTATGTAGATGTTCCTCAAAATCCTTGATGAAACCTCAATATAGAACTTACTCATGAGTCTCCTTATTCTATAGGCCAAACATACAGGACAGCCTTCGATTATGCTAACTGGACTATTATATTTTTTGTTACTCTTTGGACCCTTGTTTTCTTGTTCTTTGAGATATTTGCATGCGGCGCTACCCCAGCTGCAAGCTGGCTAAGTCTACAATCTTTGCGCCATGCCTGCGTGGATACTTTTGGTATGCAAACTGGCGGTGCCGTCTTCAGTTGGATTCTTGACCTCACAATCCTAATCGAGCCCCTTCTTATGGTATGTTGCTCAGGCTTACTTAATGGATAGTAAATAGCTATATAGGAAATCTCGCTGATATTGTGCAGATTCGGACTCTTAACATGAGCACCAAGAGGAAGATTCAAACATCCCTTGTCTTTCTCTGCAGTATCTTGTAAGTCTATAGTTATACAGTACCAGCATGTATTGATTAATAAACTGATATCCCTTGATAGTGCCGTCACTGCGGGGCTTCTAAGAATGATTCCTTGGATCCAAATACATATTCAAGACATTTCTCATGTAAATATTAGGGTCCTGGGTACTACCCTACCAACAGCTGACCAAGAAGGTACGTGGAACAGCAATATGGATATATCCCCCTTCGAAACTGACAGACTTGTACTTGGCAGGCATTGTCTCTATCATACTCTTTTGGACCTATGTTGAGATCGGCATAGGATTCTTAGTTGCATGTCTTCCTCGAAGTGCTTGGATATTTGATAAAATATCCCTCACGCCTATCATTTATAAACTTCGTTCACTTGCATCTACTACATCTATATCACAATGGGAGCGTGGCCCAGATCCGAAAAGGGGGAAGGAAAGAAACTATTCACAAGCGTCGTGGATATCAACACGTCAACCTAAAGAATCGCCGAGTCGACATACTGATGACGAAATTGAATTGGTTGCGGCCAGAAGTACTTGAATGCGCCTATGTCACTTCTCTTTCGTATACCTGCTCTTTTCTCTCCTCATCTCAGGACTTTAGGTTTTCTTTGTTTGCGGAGTGAGAGTTGTCTTACACTGCTAGGTACCAGTTAGGTCCCTCCCTAGGTACCTACTACCTTAGATAGGCAGATACTTCTAGCTTTTTGGGTCTTTTCAAACAGCAAAAGCAAGCGCATGGGCTATGTATCCACTTGAGTTATTGATCACTTGAATTACAAAGTTTTTACATTGTCACTCTCTCCAAATGTGTCTTAAGCTATCCTATCATGAGTCCTCCAGATCATTTAGAACCGCAACTGGGCTGAGATTCCTCAAGTGCTCCGGAAGATACCTTTATTTTAAAGGGAGTGGAGTGACGTACTTATTTTCAAATTTCCATCCAAGGACCCAGGTACCAACTTCCTGGTATCACTCGAAACTATGGTGGTCAAAACCAATCCTCAATATTTTGAAGCTCGTGATTGTTCCCCTTCTTTCCTCAGCCGCCCAGTTGAGGGTGTGATCGACCATCGATACCTCATAAAGATCAGTGCCAATGCATGTACATAAAAGAAGCATTGACGTCTTCTCGGGGAGATGATCGAAGCCAACACTATCATTCATCCCCGAATCATGGCCAAAGACTACGAGGTACATAAGTTCGTTGTCACATTTTACCCGGACAGTCCAGATGACATGCCTCGCCCCCTGAAGGACTTCAAGGTTGGAAATACCATCGCTATCTTCTACACACTAGTTCATAGCTTTCGAGATAGGACTATTGGCTACCGGATTGAGCATTCGGATGAAGTCACAGTTGGTAACCCTTTTGTTGACTAATATCAATTGAATCACGGACTTACATGTATAGATCATACCCCTCAAGCTGTCCGAGGTTTTCGAAATGAACAAGTTATCAAGTACACCCCGGCCATTGACACTCCACGGAAGTGCCACAATTATGATGAGGCGAAAGACAAGCCCCTTAAGTGCGGAAGGTGTGAATCAGCCTATTATTATAGCAAGGTATGTATGGGGTATTGTGCTTCGCTACAACCATTCAGGCGAGATACCGACCAGACAACTAGGAATGCCAGGTTACAGGATGGAACGATAAGAACCATAAGGGATTCTGCAAAGCATTGAAGGACAAGAGCGTCAAACGGATGCATTTCCTCAAATACGAAGATTACGATGGTCGCATTAGCTTCTCATAAAGCGGATTGATGTCAAAAATATACCTACAGTAATATTGCAAAAAAATAATATTCAGCCCTAATGGATCTTAAAAGGTGGGACTCCGTGCACGTTGCTAAAAATAAAAATCTTTACTTTTATTACATAACGTCGTATATTAATATATATATTTTAATATATTATTAACATTAAATAACGTTTTATTAAATTTTAAGTAATTTTAAAACTTAGAAAAAATATTATTAATTTATATATATTATATTATATAATAATAATAATATTTTTTCGTTAATAAAAGATTTTTTTTTTTTTTATTTTATTAAATTATTTTTATTTATAAAATCCCGATTTAAAAATTATTTATATTTTTATTAAACTTTCGGATTATTTTTATTTAAGTTTTTTTTTAAATAATTTTTTAATTAATTATTATAAGTTTTATTATATTTATTTTAAGTTTTATTAATTTATATAACGTTATATTTTTTATGTTATTTTTTTTTTATTAATTATATATTTTTTCGTTTTATATTTTTATAATTTTTTTTATTTATATTTACGAATTTTATTAAATAAATAATTTAATTTTTATAATTTAATTATTAAAATTATTTAAATATTTAATTTATATAATAATAAAATTTCGAAATAATAAAATTTTTATTATTTTTTAATTATTCCGAATTAAAATAAACCGACGTTAATAATTTAATTAAATATTTATTAAATTAAATAAAGGAAAAATTTTTTATTAAATTTTTAATTAATTAAAAAAAAATTATTAAAAAATATAAATATTTACCGGATAAATTATAAATTTAAGTTTATAAATTAACGACTTTTTTATTATTTTAATATTTAAATTATTTATTTTTATAATAAATATATTACGTATTAATTAATTAAAATAATATATTAATACACGTAATTTATAAACGTTTTTATTATTTTTTACGTAATTATTTACTTTAATTAAATTATTAAAAAAAACATTTTTTTTACCGTTAAATTTTAAATTATTTTTAATAACGAATTTAAAAATTTTATTATAATTTATTAACCGTATAAAACTTAATTATTTATTATTTATCGGAAAAATTTTAACTTTATTTTTAATAAAGTTTATTAATAATTTATTATATAACCCCGTATAAAACTTATACCTTAATTTATTCTTATAAAAAAACATTAAAAATTTTTTTTTTTTTCGAATTAAATAATTTAATTATTAACGATTTATTTTAACGTATATTTAATTATAAAATTATTTTACGTAAAAAAAATATTAATTATTTTATTAAAAATAATAATAAAAATTTTTTATTTACGTATAATAATTAAAAATTAAAGCTTTTAAATAAAAAATTAAATAAATTATTTTAAAAATTATTAAATTAAATAAATAATAAAAAATAAATTTTTAAAAAATTTATTAAAATTAATTATATTTAAATTAAAAATATATTAACATTAATATTTAATTTAAATAATAATATAATAATATAATTATAAATATAATTATAAATATAATTATAATTATAATTATAATTATAATTATAAGTTTAATTTTAAATTTAACTTTAAAATTAACTTTAAAATTAATTTTAAACTTAATTTTAAAATTAAAATTAATTATAAATTATTATTACATTTATAATATAAATTATAATTAAAATATTTTAATTAATTAATAATAAACTTAATGGAATATTAAATAATATAATTATAATAAATAATTATAATAATTGTCACAACAGGAACAAAGCTTGCGGGTGGAAGCTGTCACCTGCCAATTAAGCCAAACAACCATCAAAAGACGAGGATTGCAAGTCGAACAGCCTTGCGATATTACAAGTAATAAGGCTAATCCGTCACACTACCCCTCCCTTCCAAAAGGCTCTTATCCCGAGAGCCTCTCAATCCACCATAGCAGGCCCAACTATGGGACAGTATCAACCTATTTCTCTGGGACAGCATCCACCCGTTTCCCCTGCTACAGCTTCGTGGATATTATAAATACTAGAAGGTATGGAGTTCTAAGATCACGTCGCCTTAAACCAAAGTGGTATTGCCACCTTAGTTCGAACTTAATACCTTAGGTCCTTTGACTTGCGATTATATCACAACAGGAACAAAGCCTGCGGATGGAAGCTATCACCTGCCAATTAAGCCAAACAACCACTAAAAAACAAGGATCGCAAGTCGAACAGCCTTGTAATATTACAGGTAATAAAGTTGATCCGTCACAATAATATATTTTTATTTTTTAATATTAAATATTTTAATTTAAATTTAATATAAAAAAATCATTTAAATTATAATGTAATTTTTTTAAATAAATATATAATATATATTAATGTTTATATTTTTATAAATAAATTAATAAAAATTATTATAATATAAAACGAAAAAAAATAAAAATTATTTAATTATAATATTTATAAAGTAAAATATATTTTTAATTTTATATAAAAAATTTAAAAAATAAAATAAACGTGTTTAATTTTAAAATGGTAAAATATATATGCGAATAATTTATTAATAGATTTTAAAAGGAATAAAATTTAATATTTAATAATTTAAAAAAAAGATTTTTTATAATATAAAATATAAAAATAAATAAAAAAATATGTTTATTTATATAATTAATTATATACGATATTAAATTATATAATTTATTATTAAAAAATTAATTATTTTATATTTTTAAAACATTTAATTATATTATTTAATTATAATTTAATAAATTAATAAATAAAATAATATTAAATAAATTTATAAATTATATTAATTAAAAAAAAATATATTAAAAAATATAATAAAATTATTATTAATAAATAAATTATTATAATATAATAAGTAAGTTAATTATTAATAAATTTAATAATTATTTTATATTAATTAATTTATAAAATAATAAAATAATTATAATAAATATAATAATTATTTACGATAATTTTAATAATAAAATTAATTATTAAATATTTAAATATTATAAGTTTAATTATTTTAAATATAATTATTATATTTTTAACATTAATAATAATTATAATATTTATATTATTAATTATATTAAATATTTTATTAATAAAATTAAAAATTATAATAATTTTTTTAAAATTAATAATAATTATATTAATAATTATATAATTTATTTTTTTAATAAAAATATATTTTAAC